TTCATTTTGCCATTTACTGCCGCTGTGGGATGCTGATTGCCAAATCATAGCTGTTAGCAGCTCTGTGCCTAGATTTCTCCTCACCTTTTGATAGTTTTCTCCAGTAATTTTGCAAAGTAAGCTGGTGTTTTGAGAGCTCATCCTCATTCCAGAATGACACCTGATGGATTTCCAAGTGCCTGACTGGTGTATTTAAAAAATGTTTTCAATTTCCCACTTGCATTTTAAGTTCCAGTGTTTCCATAGTTTCTTTTAATCAAGCATCCAAGTGGCTGATAGCCTGATCTGCTGGGAACTGTTATGTTATTTAAAACCTACTCCACTTGAACCGGTTCCTTTCTCACATCTGACAAAGATCTCTATGAACAAAACCTGACTAGCTATTGGAACTGATGCCTCAGGATGACGCTTTGAATACACAAGGTTCTGAAAATGTTTTTAAAATGCAAACACACCGATACCACATAATCTCATATTGTAATAACTTCCATTCTACGTGTCAGTTACAGAGGTGGTGTGCTAAAGAGAGAAATAACATCTGCCAGGAACACTTAATAGTACTTTGGCTAACGAATTTGCGCAACCTTCCATTCACAAAACTGCATCAATAGATATATGCCTTTCTAGGATTTCAGGCTGAATAAAGGAGGGGTTTTTTAATCTTAACTTTTAATATTTCCCATTTATTTTCAGTGTTTCTAAAGGCAGAAATGATTTTTTTACATTTTCCAAGCTCCAGAGTTTTGCTACAGTAGTTAAAAATGCTCAGTGCTAAGCTGTGCTATTTTCCAGCAAGCACATGAAGCAGAAAAATTACTAGTATGTGCATAAGACAGACAGCTACTTCAAAACTGCCCAATCATTATGTGATTAGTTGAAACTATTTTTTTACGAGACTGTCCATCATACACATGAAACAATTCACTGCAATTAGAAGGCACATTGCAACACAGTAAAATTGCTCAGTTTAACAAGAGGCAGAAGCATATAGAGAGGGCTTGTGTACACAGGTTAACAGAATTGTTCTAAAATTGCATAATGCAATCTGAAATTAGCTCCAAAAGAGTTTAGGGGTTTGGAAGTGGGGAGAAGGATTGCATAGAAGGCGCTGGTGAGGCTGCACCTGGAATACTGGGTCCAGTTTTGGGCCCCTCAATACAAGAAAGACACTGAGGTGCTGGAGTGTGTCCAGAGAAGGGCAATGAAGCTGGTGAAGGGTCTGGAGCACAGGCCTTGTGAGGAGTGGCTGAGGGAGCTGGGGTTGTTTAGCCTGGAGAAGAGGAGGCTGAGGGGAGACCTTATCGCTCTCTACAACTACCTGAAAGGAGGTTGTAGTGAGGTGGGTGTTGGGCTCTTCTCCCAAGTAGTTAGCGATAGGACGAGAGGAAATGGGCTTAAGCTGCGCCAGGGGAGGTTTAGGTTGGATATTAGGAAAAATTTCTTTACGGAAAGGGTGGTCAAGCATTGGAACAGGCTGCCCAGAGAGGTGGTGGAGTCACCATCCCTGGAAGCATTCAAAAAACGGGTAGATGTGGCACTTGGGACATGGTTTAGTCTAGTCTACCCTTGATTGGTTTAGTGTGGACTTGGTAGTGTAGGTTAATGGTTGGACTGGATGATCTTAAAGGTCTTTTCCAACCTAAACAATTCTATGATTCTATGATTCTATACTGTGGGAGTTGCCGTGGTTCCGGTCTGATGGAACAAAGGGTAACTTGTGCCAAACTGAAAGTCTTAAAGTGATCCTTAGCACATTAACAGAGTACAGGTGTCTTCACTGAATTTTCTTGCATGACTTCTTTATATACTAAACAGTGCTGAAAGGTACCTATGTAACATCACCCATTTATTACCTGGTTGTACTGAAGTTGCTCTGCAGTCCAGCAGAAATTCTCCCAAGTGCAGATTGACTTTTGCCCATAGTCTTGAAAGATCTTTAAAACATGGTATAATGAACATTTTCTGAAGGAAGGACTCGTACCACAGAAGATAACACAGATCTTAGCAAGGACTCAGTTTCCTACATTCGTATCCCTGTTGGCTGTGATTTAAAAAACAAAAACGTGGGCCCCATGTGAAAGGCTCTTTCCTTTTACAAAAGTTAATTACATATTCTTACAGCTGAGAATAGAAAGTGACTTAACGTTTCCTTCTACCAAAAGCAAACCCATGAAGAATCAGCACAAACCCTAAAGTAAATCAGTATAAAAGCTTAAGCTACTTGACAAATTGGCTATATCCACTCCATTACTTGCCCAAATGGGAAAATCCAAAGTTTAAATTCTCAATAAAACAACACTTGGGTACATGGACAAAAACCGGAGATCAGAAAGTGTTACTAATGACTAAAGATGTTTATGCTGTTTCTCTCGTATAAAGGTGTCACATGGCAGTGTCAGGTCATTTTACTCAACTTCCACCCACAGCTCAGTTTAGCCAGTAAAGGATATTTTACAGACAAACCAAGTAACTCCATTCTTGCTACAACCACTTACAGGAGAAGAGAAAATATAAATAGTAAAATGCACATGTAAGTAAATTAAAAGGAAGGAACACTTCTCACCTTTGCACGCACATTCTAAAAAGACAGAATATCAAAAACGCAACCAGTGCACTACCCCTACAATTTTTCCAGTTGTTTTTAGTGAAAATGAGAGCATCTGTATAAAGTGTTACAGTTAGCTCTAATAAATAAGGGAGGTAGCCTGTTCTGTATTGTTTTTCTTGACCTTTGAGCTGCATGCATAACTAGCTTTTCACAGGAAGACAAATCTAGCTCCAAAAATTACATGCTGTAACTAGTATGTTCAATCCTCCAGGGAGTGGGAAACAAAAAGTCAAGGAATACTGACAGCTCTTTTAGTAAATATACATGGAACTGTAGAAGTAATAATTTGGGGACCTGGACTGTCATTAATAATACATTCTGAGACTGTTCTACTTTAAAGTAACTACTAGAAAATTCACTTTTAAACTCACTTAAAATACTGCAGAGATTTAAATGGTATTTCTTAAAAACAAAAGCAAAACCATAAAATCCCAGCAAAAAACCTTGTAGCCAGTAGATGGTGCTACATTCAAGCAGTATTTCTAAAATACGCAATCACATTCTGTGTGCCATCAAATTACTGCTTGCTTACTTCAATCATTTCTAAACAGGGAACTATTTAAATTAGCATTTGTTCTGGCCTGCTCAGAAACACCAATTACAGGTCTCTCTCACTGATTACTCCTGGTCTCATGCTCCTAATGACACTAATATCCCTTTTGGCTTCTAATCACCATTATTGTCACTTTTGGCTTTATTAGTAAAGTCAGTCTTTTCAGGAACAATACTGGGATATTATGCCTCTTTGCATTTACGTTATTCTGCTCATTCACTCTGAAGTCTTGGGTCTGAAGCAATGAATTTTTTTCCATGCACTACCCTGCAACCAGTACATCATCTACGGTATTCAACTTAACTCCCGAATTTCTAAATGACGGCACGGTTGTTGTAGTGAACTGTGACACAGACACAGAATTTCATCATCATAAAGCCTACTCCAGAACCGCTGATGAAATCATCTTGTTCCACGGATGAAAGCCTCATTTTTCACCAGCATGTCTGAAATATCCAGGGAAATTATCCAGTGCAAAAGCAGCACAAAAAACATACGCTTCTCTTACTCTGTCTCCTGCCCCTGGCAACAAAAGCTGCACAACACATGTCTGTAGCAGGCTTCATGTGAACCAAACACAACAGCCTCCAAAGCAAGGACCAAGGAAGGCTTCTCAACTACACAACACAGCAATTGCTCGTACCAGAAAACAGGAGTCTCATGAACTACACCATTGTCTTTCATTTGCCCTCCGTATGCTTGGGTTCTCTCTTTTACAGAAGGTTGGTAACTGAGAAGACCCCATTTCCTTTGCTTCTTGTCAATGCTCAGTGGCTTGTAATCCCTGGAGAAACATGTCCATGTAAGTCACTCTGCCTGTGAAAGCTACATGTTCTGGTAAAGGCGCTTATGCACAGATACAATGTTATTCCATCCAATGGATTAAAATAATGCATAGGTAAAAGGATTGAAGTAATGCATAGTTAAAATTCTCCCACCAAAAATTCCAGTTTCACCTAGAAGACCATAAAAATTAATCTGTCTCTCAAAAAGATTGATTTGGGCATCATTCAGAAAGTTGACTGATTCAACCTGAATGTTTTGGCAAAACCTTCCTCAACTGTAGCATTCAAGCAACAGCACAAATGAGGCATGGAACAATGACCGTAGGAGTCTCAGCCCAATCTGCCACCCATCCAAAAGGCTACAAAACCTACATGAGGCCAAACTGGAACACGTCCAGAAGACAAACCTCAGCATCCTCCACACAGGTGATTTGTGACAGACACGGCTTTTCCTCAATGCCAGTCTGTAGCTTCCCATTATACTGCTCCTGTAACAACACAGTCTTGAATAGGAATGAATCATCAATGTCTACATCTCCAGAAGGGAGATAAACACATCTCCCTATCTTACTGGGATAAGGAAAGGAAATAATTGGAAGTTGAGAGATGATCAAATAATATGATTGTAGAAGTAGTCACGATAAGGACTCTTAGAGTATCAGTATGGATTAAGCTTTTAGAAAGTAACAGTGGAACTGTCTGAAGTACTGTGTTTTGTGGGGGTTTTTTTAATACTGTTTAACTGATCGAGATCCAAATCTGATCGGGGGGAGGCGCAGGAAGCATACATAAAGCTATAACCAGGATTTTAATAAGATGGTTTGCAGTTTGCTGATGTTCCAGAAAGATGCAAACTCTGCAAGTTTCCTCTTGCAACTGTGTAATCTTATTAAAGGTAAATTATACTTGAACTAACATCCACTTCTGATAATCTGAATTAAGGACATTTTGTTCCATGGCCTTTTTAAAAACACATCATTAATATAACACAATAATTCTAGTCAAAGGGGAAAAAAATCAAAAAGAAGAGCATAGATCTATTCTGAAGTACTTTATTTGAAGAGTAAATTTTATTTCACGGTCAGCTGCATCAACCAAGACATAATACTTCTGCTTATGAAGAAAAATGAGAACAGAAGAAAACATGTGCCATACACTACATACACTTGGATACTTTTAACAGCTTTGCTACAATCAGCAATACTTTTCTTTCATACAGAAAAGCATTTACTTAATATACTGAAGACAAAAAGCTATCTGAAATCAATTAGTTACCATGTTTATTTTAAGGTCTCTCACTGCTGCAGACTTCATCTCTGTACGAAGAGTTACATGAAGAAAATGCAGCTTATCTTTGCTGAAGTTGCTTCATTCCTTCCTTTTCTTTGTACACTGTAGACCAGAGTACGGCAGTCGACATCTGCACACGTTTGGAGCTATGCATTTTCCTCCATGTTGACAAGGTAGTTTACATACAGCTGAAATGAGACACCAGATACATAGTATGTGTTCAGCACAGCACAGGATCATTTTTCTTCTTTGTCTCACTGTGCTAGCAGAATTGTCCCCTGGTGAGCACACTAGGACAGTATAAATAAAAGCATAATGGAAGAACTCAAAAGCAATGCCTCTCAATTTATTACATCACGGTCTTCACTGGAATACAGCCACAGTCTGTCTAATCTTATTCATGCTTCATTCCCCTTTTAAAATACTATCATTTCTGTTGTTCTTTAAGGCACAGGCTATTTCTGAGATGGATGCCTCCATGAAAGTGAGGGAACAATAAAAATTCCTGCTGAAACTTATTCAAGCTGGTTCTTGGATCCACATCCATGAGGAAACAGTTGCCACATACTAGCTGTCTGTTCCCTCCCCACCCCCAAAAGAGCAGAGGAGGACTGAGCGGACACAGCTTTAGTTGTCCCCTAGCTACACACCAGTTCCAGTAACAAGCCAGGGGCTGTAATTTGCTTATGAGCATCTGTACCAACAGAAGTCAAACTGGATGCATATCTAGTTAGTTCAGGAACAGTGATTATTTTGACATTAAGAACCTGAACATTTCTACTATTGCTGGTGCAGGGAATGGAGCTAAGCATTTTCTAAGTTCTCTGCATCTTCCATACTTACCTTTTAATATCACCCTCTATCTCGATACAGATGATGAATACAAAGGATAAGCATTTTGCTGGGTCAAATGGGAATGTTAAAGTATTATTTGTTAATGTTTGCTTGACTATATATATTGCAGAAGAACTAACACTAGCTGATTCGCATTCCCACAGGCACACAAAAATTTCAGATGCAGAGGACTGAATCTGGAGACGTTGCACCCATGATATCCAGTTCAAAAGCAATGCTTAAATGAGCTTTCTCGCAGTCTCCCAGAGAGCAAACAAAGAAACTTTCCTTTTTACAGTCTCAGGATTATTGCCTTTAGCATCAAGGCGGTGCTGTTATGAGCATACAAGGCCCTGCCAGAGAAGGGTAGGTTAAAGTTTTTATAATCATCATCTGCTTTTGTGAATCAAAATTTGGGAAAATACAAGTAGTTATTCAGCAAGAATGTCAATCAGTACTAATCCTGATAACAGCTGGCTTTCTCTTACTCGTTTAAGAGCACCTGGAGTTGATTCTGCTGACTTATCCTCTAAGTGAGAAACAAGTTTCAATTCTCCATGTCCATAAAATTTAATGAAGTTTCCAATCCACATCAGTAGTGATAGTGTTTCTGTAATGGCCATTTTCAGTTCTTTATACTGGGGTCTCAGTTTATAGAAAATATCTCAGAAATACTGACAAGACATACCAAGTAGTGAATTTGGTGACAACCAAAATCTGAATCTGAATTTACTTGAAGTGGAAAAGTTGTGTCTTTCTGACAAAATTGAAAAGCCATCTATTCCTTACCCATACTTGTAAGATGCTCAGTATGCAGAAGCAGTTCTCATTTACTATTCTAAGATACTTTCCTAGCAGCTTTGTTAGGCACTGAAGATTTGAACACTATATTGGTAAATCAAACAAGTAGAGAAAAGGATAAACGAAAAATATCAGAAGTCATTTACCTAAGTGACATGCTCCACCAACCCATCCAGCTGGACAGCTACAAATCCCAGGAGCCACACAAGCTCCATTATTCCGACAACCCTGGGGACAAATTGCTAGAAGAAAAGAACGGGTAAGTCAGCAGGATTTATAAAACTGATATAAAAGAATCCTGACAGAATTAAAGATTCGGGATGATACAAATCAAAATGGCAAAACACATTTTCTTCCAGACCAGATACTCAACTGGTATAACTCTAAAGGCATTTCCAGGACCATGGAAATGGAAAACAACATTTATGTACTGTGTTAAGAATTTTGGTTTAAATATTAACAGATGTACACTTCAATGCAAAATAATTTGACACTATTTTATCTGAGTATGTACCAATACTGCAGGTCCTTCATTTCTGTAGTAATGCAATGACATTTTTGTAGTTATTAGCCTCTTAATACTTTTTAAATGTTTTTGTTACTGCAGTTATATTTTGAATCAATATCAACATTTTCATGAATGTAGATACCTACCTTCTTGGCATCTTGATCCTGTCCAGCCAGAAGCACAAAGGCACTTCACAACTCCATTGACAGAGATGCATTCCCCACCATTTTGACAGCCTCCTTCACAGCTTACTGCAGAAGAACAGCATACGCAGTGCATTTCAGAAGCAGCATAGGACTTCAGACAATTATCCTTAAACAGCTGGTCTTCCATCAACTGCTTGTTTTATCACATCAGCAAAGACTAAAATTTCAACTATTCAGAGCAAGGCACAGTTCCATAAGGAGTGAGTGAGGATGACAGAACCGTGTCTGCAAATGCCAACTCAAAATGCCATTAAAATTAAACGTGCTTAAAAGCTTGTTGAGCATTTAGCCTGAGAGTACCAACAAACAAACATGAATATCACTATGGCACAGCTCCCCCTGCCCCAACTGTGAACCAACTGTTCATCAGCTACACCACAGTAACTACTAAGATCCATATTCTCATTGATCTTGCCAAATCACAGCTGGTAAGCCAGTAACATGTGGTCAAGGATTCACATATTTCCTTACCTGACAGGACCTACACATAACAAGAGGAAGAAGAGAAGGGGATATTACTTTGACTATAGTCAAGTTGAGTGGTGCCTTCCCAAAGGCCAACTATCTAAGTCAGCCTCCTCATTCCAGAATAGTTCTACACATCAAAGCCCTGAAGGCCTCACTAATGAAGCATTATTTATGCCAGACATATGATCTGAATCAACTGTGGTGTGCACCATCTTTGAAATATGGCATAATCACTGTTCTGTACTATCAAATGCATCCTTTCACAAGCATGAACGTAAACATATACACCGCCTTCACTGTATTGAAGAGAAACAACTGTCCTTCATTATATTTGGGATGTCTGCTTGATACTTGGTAGAAAAAAATCCAAATCTCTGTTCTATCACAAGTTTTGAGCATGATTTCAGCTAACAGATTTTTGGCACAAATGCTGAACACTCAAGGACACGCAAGTCAACTCCAGCACAGCTAGAAAAGCTCTTCAAAGCTTGTTTGCATATTTCTTTGTCACACAGTATAAGTTAATGTATTTAATACTGATTGTATTTGATCAATTGTGGTGACTGGGAGAAGTACCTGAAGATTGGAGGAAAGCAAATGTCACTCCAATCTTCAAGAAAGGTAAGGAGGACCCAGGGAACTACAGGCCAGTTAGCCTCACCTCAATTCCTGGGAAGGTAATGGAGCAGCTGATCCTGGAAACTATTTCCAGACACATTACAGACAAGAAACTCATGAGGAATAGTCAGCATGGCTTCACCAAAGGGATATTGTGGATATTGTGAGGGTGACCAAGCACTGGCACAGGTTGCCCAGTAAGGCTGCGGAGTCTCCATCCTTGGAGATATTCAAAAGCTGTCTGGACAATCGTTCTTGGCAACTGCCTCTAGGTGGCCCTGCTTGAGTGGGAGGGTTGGACAAAATGACCTCCAGAGCTTCCTTCCAACCTCAACCATGCTGTGACTCTGTGCGATTCTGTAATAGCACATTGCACCACACTGCAAGTTTGTACATCCAGGCTCCATATGCCACAGTACTCCACCTTAAAGGTAAGCACAAGAACATCCTTTGCCTTATAGGGATAACATGATAACAAATACAAGTAGGACCTCTACTTGGACACAAACCCAAGTCTAGACTGGCAGACTTTGGCCTCTTCAGGACCCTGGTTGGGAAAGTCC